TCCCTTAAGGAATTGTGCAGATTCCTACCTGAGATAATCTCGAACACATAAACCCGTTCTTGAAGAGAGCGTTGACTCCCTGGCTCATACAGCAAGCGTTTCTGGAGTCAGGAATGAGTGTGCAATGAGCAAAAATACCCAAACACCCAACGCTCCTCATTGCTGATATTGTCTCCTCTGCTATGCTTCCTGCAAAGAACTTCGCTGTATCCCATTTGCTCAGTCATGGAGATAATTTCTTTGCTGCAGCTAAGGTTGAGGTCTGGAAACTGGGAAGTGTGCTTCTGTCCAGCTAGGCAAGCAGAGGGGAGTAAAGGCAATACTTTATACTGTGGATGAAGGCAGAGAAACGGTTAAAGAAGGAACTTTTTTGAAGACCATATCCAATTTCAGCAGTACCTTGGAGGGTGGGTGTTCATCTGTCAGGAGGATTAATGATGAATTTAAGTTTTTCATCAAAAAGCTATTCTTGCAGAGTTCTGGATAGCGCTGTCATGCATAGCTATCGTCGCTCTTTAAAAGAAATTGTGTTAAAGATAATTACTTCACAAGCTTGAGGAATTGATTCAGGCAGCTACTAGTGACTGCCTAGCTCTGATCTTTAAAAAAAAAAAATCATTGTTTCAGTTAAAATAGCTGCATAAAATATTTTGAAACTCGTGTGGAGAAAAAAACCAACACAACAACAGTACAATTCCTTTAATCATGACTGCTGCTTTAAGAGTTGAAAATGCAGAGGGATGCTTTAAATGAGAATATATTGTGGTTTTCTGAGGTTCATGAGAGCTAAAAGACATTTTAGCTGGCTTTGGAGGTGGGAAGTGCTAGAAGTGAGCAGGTGCCCACATTTTGGTCTAGCATAACTCTAATTTACTCTCAATCTGTATTTCGGAATCCAGTTGGTAAAACCATTCTTAACAACAATTATTTGGGAAATATGTTAACTTTACGACTTGTTCATATTCAGAGCTAAATCTAAGTACTATAAGATTTTGAGCTGACTTGTTGTACAATATATGCGGCAAACTGTAGTGGTTTTTATTTTAAAATGTTACAGTCTGGTGATTCCATTGTAGAATGATGAAGCAATTGTACTACAATTTATAAGAACAAAATATATATGTGGAAGAAGTGTGTTAATCTTTATGTTTTTTACAATGGGTATTATAGGATTAAGAACTAGAACTATGGTGATGTGACAAGGAAAGGGCAGAGGAAAATATTTATGCAAACTGTCATATAAAACTTTCTGATTTAAGATTAGAATATTTTCTTATGGAGATTAAAGAATGCTATCGCTTGTGACATTGAAATACTGGCCCAACAGGGTGAATAGAAAACTCCTAATGTCGCCTAGAGTCAGCAGGTTTTGTATCCCTCTGTGGGTTAAAAGCTTTATTCTGTCATTATTATACTGCTAGAGTAATTCAGTCAAAATAAATGTGGCATTTTGGGAGTCAAAATGTATACTATAAATTTCTTACTTGCTGATAATATTAATAATAATGGACAAAATGGAATTCAGTGCATTAGAGACTTCTGAAGAAGAGAACCAAGAACAGATATTCTAGGATTAAACTGAGTGATATTAAAGTCTTTTATTAATCATGGTCTTGCATAACCAGGGACATATTTGTTTTTGATGAGTAATCTGATTAATAAGGTGAAAACTGCATGTCAAAATCAATAGAAAAATAAACTCTAGCACATGGAATTTGTCAGTTATATTTGTGTGTTCTTTGGCTGTGTTAAGGAGTTTTTTTACCTTCAATCTGTGCCAAAAATTTGTAGACATGATCTCCAGTGTCTGCATGGGAATTTAGGTTTGGAAATACTGAATTACTGTTATTTGGATAACGCAGTCTGACTCTAAGAAACTTAGTCTGAACTTATGATGAAATAATCGAGGCTCTATCAAGAAATGTGTTTCCTTACTGGAAATATTTCAGTTTCCTAACTTGAGCATTGATATCAGAGTCAGGTTGTCTGGAAACTATTTCTGCAACTATCAGGACATTTTTAAAAGTCAAGCAGCGGTATGGATACTTTGCCTAAGAGGGATCACTTTGAGCAAGCCCCAGCTTAGCGCAGTAAAAATTATACAAACACAATATGGTATAATTTCTTTCAGGAAGAGTAGGTTTTAGTGTACTTTTGAAAGAAGGAAACTTGCATTTGCCTTTCAGCTACAAGCCTATTCTTCCATGTCCCTTAAAGAATAAAAAATAAGGATGAACAATTGTGATAAACAATAATTCATAATCTTTTTAACTTGTCCTAAGCATGCCTGTTACTAACATGAATGCCTCCTTTTTTGCCAACCTAGCCATAAAATCAATGAATGACAACTTTACTCTAGTTTTCATATTTTGTGTTTGCACTGTGTATTATTTCAACAAAAGCTGATTATAGAAAAGGAAGAGAAAATCGCTTTCATTTCAGATAAACTATTGGTTTAGAGGAAATAAAGCCTGATGTTGAAAGTATGTTGGATAATACCCTTTTGGCTAAGAAAAGTGCCTGTTACTAAAAAGAAAGCTCACAAGACAGAAAATGCACTTAATTTAGCTTGGAAGGTTGAACTAAGCCTTTCAGGTTCATATTTGTGCTTTATTCATTGCAGCATGGCTGCACATGCTTTCTAAAGGGAATGCTGTGAAGGGATTAAAACTTTTTTTTCTCTTGGTGAAAACATTTTTCTTTCTTATGTAACACAAATGGGGCATATAATTGTCAAGTTACACTTTTTTCTTCAGTCTTCTACTCTGGTAACAGAAGCTTTAAAAATGACCAAGCCTTTATGTTTGTGGGGTTTTTTTCCTTTTTTAAAATATGAGATATGTAACGAGTATTTCTAAGAAGATGTCCCTTTCTTTTCTTTAAAATTTCAGATGTGGGACACAGAACTGGAGAGATCTGCAGAGTCGTGGGCTGAAACCTGTCTATGGGAGCATGGGCCTGCAAGCCTTCTTCCATCAATTGGACAGAATTTGGGGGCACACTGGGGAAGGTAGTTTAAGATACTGTTTTATACTATATTTGATTTGTTTTGTTTTGTTTTTAAACCTAACAAAATTTGCTTGTTACTTAAAGGAACAGTGATAGAAGCTACAACTTTTGAATGATCTAATAGGCTACTACTGGCTTTCATAGGTACAGACCTCCAACATTTCATGTCCAAGCATGGTATGATGAAGTGAGAGATTTCACGTATCCCCATCCTCATGAATGCAACCCTTATTGTCCTTACAAATGCTCTGGTCCTGTTTGTACACATTACACGCAGGTATGTACGTGGGTTTGTTATTTGTCAGCTACGGAAAAGCGTAATCAAGACCTCCAGTTAGGTTGCGATATGACACATGAAACATACTCATCTTGCAGTATATACCATAGCACTGAAGCACAAAAGGGGTTTGTTATTAGACTCCATAGTTACTAGCATTGGGTACTGGTGACATAGAGTAGGGTTGTTGTACAAATCTTTAGACGTCATCCTCATAAATATCACTTCCTTAACAGGATTAAGGAAAAAGCTCACAAACCCCAGTGTTAAACTGGGTGTTACTGCCCAGTGCACTCCGTGTAATCTAGTCTCTGTGCTAGTATGCTAGTAGTCCTTTCTGTAATATGCTGAAGAAACAGCACGCTTAAAAATAAAAAGGTTTTCTTAGGTGAATTCCTCCGCCTAAAAAGAGTTTTTAACATGTTGCTTTAACTTCAGCAAGATTCTGAATTTGGATAAGAACTAATTTATTTGGAACTTCTGAAATCTGTGTATGTAGCCTGAATTTTTCCAGGGGAGAATCAGTCATGTTTTCAGTGAATGGGAAATTCTCAGATTATACTAAAATCCACATCTAGCTTTCAATATAATAGTAGAAAACTTCAAAATTATTAATTTAAAAACATTGGTTTTCTGTTTACAAGCACAATTTACAATTGTATCTAATTTTAAGACAGAATTGCCTCCATATTCTTATTTACCATTTCTGTAAAAATAACTATAATTACACTTACCCATTACATGTGAGATCTAATTATTCTTCACAGTACCTATCTCTTTCAACTCTGAAATCCTGCTGGAACTACACAGTTGACTTATCTTGAATTAATACCAGTTTAGCACCTGTCGTATTTGTCTAATTTGAACATTCCAGCCTTTGTCGTTCAGATTATTTTGAGATCTGCAATGAAAATTGTTTCAACAGATGAATAAAGGAGCACAGCCACATTAGTTTGCAATGACATGAAAGCATATTCATTTAAAATCCATGACTTGAGTCTTTTCGGTGTATGAGGTTTTTTGTGAATAGTTTTATCGTTTATGTTACCTCCTTTCAGTGCTGACAAATCTTTGTTCTCTCAGTCTGACCTATCTAAACCCCTCTGGGTCCTTAAGTTGTGCTGAGGACTGCAGGGCATAGGAACCTAACTTCTAACTCACGATTATCTACTAATTGTAATTCCAGGAATCACTTCTCAGATCACATTTTGTAAATATTTTACTACACTTTCAAATGCATGCGTAGACCATTTGTGTAAAATGAGAGCCATATCTTTGTATCAATGTAAAGCTTTTCTTTCTGATTAGGATATAACCGAGTGGCCTTTTGACACTTGTAATTAGGTCACTTCAACCCATTTATAACAAAGGGGAATATAACATCACTTTTGTGATTTGAGTTTTATACGTTGAAGTTTGGAGATGGTTTTCATTTTATGTTAATCAGCTTTGGTTTTCATATGTCTTTCTCTTTCCTTTTCCATAGGTTGTTTGGGCTACAAGTAGCAGAATCGGTTGTGCAATTAATTTGTGTCATAACATGAATATCTGGGGGCAGATTTGGCCAAAAGCAGTCTATCTTGTATGCAATTATTCTCCTAAGTAAGTAGGCTGACACCCAAATATATCTTGAGGGGGCAAGATACTTTATAATAATCCAGGAAACGATCTGAAAGGAAATCAGTCTGGGTTTTCTATTTTTTGTACTGTTACAAAGTAGAGCATTGTTCCCAAGACAGCCTTTGGCTGCACAAATACTCTTGTGATTTTCTAGAGCTTCAGTTTTCTGGCCTGTGTTTTAGCATACAACATCAGAGATCTTTGTTGTAGTGTGATAGTTGTCTGAAAAATAAAGGTGGCTCCCCATTGTGATTTTAAGGAATGTGTAACATGAAGCCCATGGTTAAGATAAAATTCTACAGGATATTCTATTTAGGAGAGCAGAGCCTGTAGTTGTGTAATTGAGGAATTTAGTCTTACAGTGCTATGCCAATCTGAAAAGATCTTACAGCAGTACTTTGGTTTTTTTCTTCATGGACTTTTCAGTTACTTCCTGTGCATTTGGTATAGAATCATAGAATCATTTAGGTTGGAAAAGAAATTTAAGATCGAGTCCAACTGTTAACCTAGCATGGCCAAGCCCACCACTAAACCATGTTCCTAAACATCACATCTACATGGCTTTTAAATACCTCCAGGGATGGAGACTCCACCACTTCTCTGGACAGACTAGTCCAATGCTTGACAACCCTTTCAGGGAAGAAATTTTTCCTAATACCCAATCTAAACCTGCCCTGGCACAACTTGAGGCTGTTTCCTCTCATCCTATCACTTGTTACTTGGGAACATCAGAGCAATGTTATGGTCTAAGTGTCTGCTGGTTTTCATCATTTATTTATCCACATACTAAATGCTGTTTAATGTTAATATATTCATTTATTAAGGCATGTTTTGCTAATTTTTTTTTTTTTTTTGGATGTCAAGGGGTAACTGGTGGGGTCATGCTCCTTATAAACCTGGCCGCCCTTGTTCCGCATGTCCCCCTAGTTTCGGAGGAGGTTGCAGAGAAAATCTTTGTTACAGAGGTATGTACTATTTCAACAGTACAATTATTAAGGGGAAGAGAAATGTAACCTTTCTTTTGCTTTCTTTAATCATTATGCTTTAACAGAGTGGAATAGAATGTATTATCCATGTGCTCAAAGACCTGGTAGGGGCCTACTTTACTATGATGAATGAGATCATGTACTTACGATGCGTGAGGCCAAGCCTCCCCAGAGGGAGTGGAGTGTACTGAACTCCTGCTGATGTAAGTACTGATTGAGGACTTTTAATACACAAGGATGTAGACTGTCGCTGTGTGCGATTTGTGTGCCTTTCTGTAATTATAGTGGAAGTCTATGCAGTCATTTGTTCATAGGGAAACGTTATCTCAGTGACATAGCCATGTGCGTTACTATAAGAAAAATCAAGAACAAGACTAGAAGACATTAGTAATTAAACAAAATGTCAGCCAGGATGATTATGAATTTCTTACCATTTTCATAATGCCATTCATATTTTACAGCATTGAAACACAGCATATTATGAAACTGCTATTTGTTTTATCCTGTGTACAAGTATTTTAGCAATTTTTGTTAGTAACTTTTGAAGGTTCATGTGGACCATAAAATCTTCATGAGTGTGCCCGAATACCTTCCTTATGGTTCCTGCTTAAGAAATGTAGATTCAGTGATGAGTATTTCAAAATTGTCTTCATTATGTATGAATAGAAGGACCTCATTTTCAGGTGTATATTTTTATGAAATCAGCTTATTTAATTGCGAGTTAACTATGAACTTGGTAAAACTCTCCTGATGTATAATAGAAATATCATCTTTGTTCTATTGGTTTTCTGATGACATAAAGATACTAAAGCAGGAGTGTTAAGAGCATTTTCATACCTCAGTTGTGCTGCTTGTGCTATAAAAAAAAACAACTTTTGTCAGCGTCAGAAACATACTTGAGATGTATTATGAGTCTTGAGGTCTTCATCTGATGAAGCAATGTAAACTTTTCCTTGCTTTCTTCCTGCTATTCGTCCACCATTTTGTGAGAACAAAGCCATGTTACTGAAACGTGGTAAGGGATTTACATTCCACAAGCACTGTTTTTTTTCCTGAGAGATTATTTTTTTGCCCGTTTTCTGAAACAGAGGATTCGGAAAGGCCTTATTCTCCCCACGAACCAGAAGAGGAAACCAATGAGATTGAACGGCAGCGATCCAAAGCCCAGGATGCAACGGTGCAAAGCCGGCCAAGAACTCATTCCCCTTCAGGCTCCACAGGCACTGATGACAGTGAGAAAAATGAAGTAATAAGCACACAGCAAATGTGTAAGGAATTTACCTGATTTGCAAGTCGTCAACAAATTTGAATTATATAGTATCAAATTCATTGCAGTGAAATTGCTTTTTGCTTGTTTTAGCTCAGATTGTGTCATGTGAAGTAAGGCTAAGAGATCAGTGCAAAGGAACAACTTGCAATAGGTATGGTAAATTTTACAGTTGTCATTCTGAGATTATTCTAAAAGGCTATATTTATATGTGAGCTGGAATATTTTCCCTTTTTGTAATCCCAGGATTTAAGACCATGTTGTATTTTATTTTCTTAGGTATGAATGTCCTGCTGGCTGTTTGGATAGCAAAGCCAAAGTTATTGGAAGTGTACACTATGAAATGGTAAAATATTTTTAAACTAGATTTTGTACGAGTAGAATGTTTAATGAAATGTCTTTTCTGTCGGAATACTAGTTAAAATCATATTAAGAATGGATTTTGAAGAAATCAATATTCACCAAATATAAAAGCCTACACCAACTGTTTAAGATAGCGTCAAACGATCTAAGTTTGCATCTGCTGTTCTGCATGTACTGTCTGAATGTACTTCATACTTCTTATCTATGCACAGAAGCAGAATTTTTGTGTCCACATATTTGCAAGTAAATATGTGAAGTTGTGACTTAAGGAGAAATACAGGAATTTGTGGGTACACTCGTATAAATTGTTTCAGTAAGATAGACCTACTTATATAAGCTTAGTGCTGGCTGAAAATATGTATAATTCACTCTGTAGAGCTGAAAAACAGTATACCAAATAATAGCTACTGTGAACAAGTATACTGTAAATGAGTGTAGTTTTACTCTGAGTAAGGAAAAGTGGTGTTTTCTTCATTTGAAATAATACCTACATAGACCACATCAAACTAATAGAGTATCTACCAAGTTTTTAAAGATACGTTGTAATTAAAACCTGTTTTTTTCAAAAATAAATTACAATGTAAAATAGTGGCTTTGTCTGACCTGGAACTGCTTTTCCTTCTGTTTTTCAGCAATCCAGTATTTGCAAAGCTGCCATACATTATGGCATCCTAGACAATGAAGGTGGTTGGGTTGATGTCACTAGGCAAGGAAGGAAAAATTACTTTATCAAGTCTTACAGAAATGGCATTCAGTCAATTGGGTAAGTTTTCTTAAAATTAAAATGTGTGGAAAGTTTTTCACCTGTTTCTTTTTATTTCATACAAAATATATCACAGTAATAACATTTTGTTCATACATTTTATCATAAAGAGTGTGAAAATGCTATAAAAATGCATGTGGATATACAGGTACTTTATCCATTCTGGAACTTTAGCTAGTGTTTAATGATGGTCAGAAAAATGATGCAGTAATGATGCAAAAGAAGGTGAAATAATTTACAAAATCACTGGGGCAGAAGGTTAATATTTGTAGTTAAATAATCTCAGTAATTGGAGTACACAATTAATTCATTTGTAAGTGTATATATTTATTGTTGAAAACTAGTACATAGTGGCACTGAAGTAGATTATTTTACATGTTTTGGACAAAGCTGGTAATATTTCCAGGGCTGGACCATGGACACAGCAATCTCTGACAGCTAACAAGGCAATAATTGTACAAGCCTGTGTTTGGAAGTGACCTTCTTGTACTGTGCATATGAACAATATAAACCAGGTAGAAAATACATCTCTTCCTAGGTGCTTGATAGTTTCATCACAGTTCCACAATTTACATATGATATTTTGGACCAATGTTTTGCACAATTTCTGCATTGGCCAGTGATGGAATAATATTGCATACTGTGGGAGCTTCATTGGAGATGTACTACACTGTTCAGGTGCTTACCCTAAGACTGGTATGTGAAAACAAATCCAAATACTACTTGACATGCTGAAAGAAAAACCAGAAGAACAGTGCATAAAAGTGGAGAATACTTGGCTGTTTCCATATGTAATTGTCCAACGATAGGACTCAATATTAGTATGTTTGAATCTAAGATATTATTAGTATTTGCAAATTGCTGTTCACTGTATCTTAATCTATTCTGCAGAGCTGTACATGGCTACCCTTATTTGTGTCTATAGTTAGTGCATGTGTAATAGTAGTATGTCTGTAACAGTTAATGTAGGAGTAATATTGAACTGAAAGAAAATGGAATTTTGCTGGTGATTTATTTGGCTCAGGTGTGAACCCAAGGGTAAGGAGATGGGTAATCATTAGAGGCTGCGCTCTCACTCTGTGCTGTGCAAACGAATGCCACATGCTATGACACCTGTCATAATTTCACTTTTCAAAGATTTACTTAATCCAGGATAGAGAGAAACACTGACTAGATAGACTAAATTCAGTGGCCTGAAACTTGGGCTAGCTGGGTAGCACTTAAGGCATTGATATCAGTTTCTTTGGGTCATCCAATGATCTGACTGTGATTTGTTACCCCCACTGAAAAGGATGATACAGACAAATATCTCTTTTTTTAAGTGCTTTGAGACCGAGAGAAGTAAATCTTGGATTATAGCAATACTAATATATTAGGACCCAGCTTTCTTAGGAATGTAGTAGTAGTTAAACTGTAGAAGATCTTCAAACTAGAAGGATTTGATTTCCCATCACTTGAAATCTCTGTGTTTCTGTGCCACATGAGACAAAATTGTATGAGTGTCTAGTCTACCGAGTACGTTTAGCACCTATCCTCTGAGAACTGGAACTCAGAGCGAGGTATTAACGCTTGGTTTTGTTTGCTGTGGGCATGGATAATCGTGTCATTGCTGAACAGTAATGGCCGTTTTGGTTTTGTGATTCAAATGTTGTAAAAAAAAAAAAAAAAAATTCAGATGCCTTGTAGATAAAAGACTGTTAAAGGACCAATTCTATACCTTCCTGTCTACAAGTATGTATCAGGAAACTCCTGCCGCTATGTGTGCACACAGATGACATAATTCCTCGTTAAATCCTATAGTATTTAGGACATCACCTTTTAGAGAGAATTTACAACATATTGTGATCAGGCATCAGCTTCGTAAGTCAGTCTATAAATCAAAGTATTTGGGATAAATAAAGATGATTTACCAAAGTTTCAACCTTCAAAAGGCCCATCAATAAGGCCAGGGATACCTTGCAGCTACCTGATTCTCACCAGGGTGTCTAGATGGAGCCTTGCATAAACTGCGTATCTGTTTGATGAGCGGATGAAATGAAGTGGATCTCCCCTCTAGTGCATATTGCAGAACAGAAAGACAGAAAAGGGAATGTCAGTGCAACAGACAGCAAACTTCCTAATCTTCAGCTCCTTTGATTTATAATCAGGATTGCTAATAAAGATGTTTTTTCAACCGTTACATTTTCATAGCCTGGGATACCCTTTTTAATGGCATCTCAACAGGCTAATCAACAATAGAATACAGTGAACTATTCCCGCGTCAGTGTTTGACAATGCTAGGGCAAGAGAAGTGTGAGCTAACTCAGTGAAAGCAAATTAAAAGCCAATAAATAAGCAAATGTGAAATTGGTGGGCCATACAAAAAATAAACCAATGCAAGCAAACAGTTTCTGAATACAAATTGCAGTGCTGTGGAGCACACAGGAGTAGTTTGCTCCAAAGGGAGTCATTTCCTTGAAATTTTTTTAAAATAATAAGTAACTTTATGGGTGCCAAAAGCATCATCAACTTCTTTGTTGCAGATGAAAAATACTAGAATCAGAGGGATATACAATGAGTAAAAAAGGGAGTAAAAGAGGAAAATAGGAGATAAAGAGGAGTACAATAGAAGTGTTCAACAATTGTAATGTAACAACAGAATGTATATACCTGACTTTATATAACAACAGGAAATGGATACACGTGGGCACCATATGATTACTGAGAAAAACAGACTGTTGTATGTTATACTGGGTTTTTAGTGACACTGCTGACAATTTAACATAGACACAAGATCCAAAAGTAAAATTTAATGAAATTTTTCAAAAAGACTGCCAGGAGAAAGTCTTTTCAGTGTTGGAGCTGTTTGTAGGAATGAACCTTTAGGGGGAAGCGAACGATCTCTTCTGTTTGATGGATGCTTCTGAGCAACCACAGAGTTTGGTTGCTACATTTTGAAGGACAAATAGATTGCACAATTTGTTTCTAGCACACTTATCCTCTTAGTAAATTAAATTACTGGAAGAGTTTAACATGCATTCCTGGTTTTCAAACAGATGCACTGGGAGTCCAAAGTGAATGTGTCATTGCAAGAAATAGATTCACAAATGGGGAGAGGGAGTATAGTGAGTAAAAATTGACTGGGGACAATGTCTAGAGTTTATTTCTTGATTCTCTAATAAAAATTCTTCTAGCTAAAAGAAATCACTGAGATACGTTATTTACTGACTACTCTATTATTTCTTCTTCAGAAAATATCAGTCTGCTAACTCCTTCACTGTCTCTAAAGTAACAGGTTAGCATTTATTTCTTATAACCTCAGTACTACTTTGAGTTGGTTTTTTTTCTCTAAATAGCACACATTTATTTGTTTCTGGTTTACTTTCTTCAGTTCAAGCTGTCACCTGTGAAACAACAGTGGAACAACTGTGCCCATTTCAAAAACCAGCCTCACACTGTCCAAGGTAAAATTCTTTGAGTTTTATTAATTTAAAGTGCTGCCATATTTTCTGTCAGTTACTAATTATCGATAGTTGTCATTGATAAAAGTGACAACAGTAGCTATAAAAATGAAGCCAGAAATGTTTTACTGGTATTTCAGTCTCTGGTCTAAGTAGAAGGTCAGTCAGGTAAAGATGATCGACAGGCTTTTTCATTAGAATCTCACTTTTTTTTGCTCATAAAGATCTGTCTTTGGTCCCTTGGAAAATCTTAGTGAAATCATAGTTGGTTAGACTAAAGACTGTAAAGAAAAATGCGTTTTTATTTTTCATTGTACGGTGTTATATTGATGCACCTTGGGCAAAATAGACTTTTATTGCATCTGTTTGACAGGCAAATAAAGGATATGATACAGATTTTTATCATAGAAGTTATGAACTTGTTTGGGACTTCTGAAGGATAGAGTAAGCAAAGATGTTTGCAAAAAAAATTGAAGTATATATGGTTAAGGTGTGGTCTGCAGGTCAGTTAACAGCTTTAAATATATGTGCCATTTCTTTGAAGCCTACGTTTTAACTCTTCGAAAGGAACCTGTGCCACAATATTTTGAGGAAGGAAATGGGTAACAGTTCTTAAAACCATAGATGAGTCAAAGGTAAATACACTGTAGCATGATTTACCGCAAGCTAAGCTGGAGATATCCACAGGATTACTTTCATAGCAATCCTACAGCCAACAGAGGAAGCAAGTACAAAGCCAGAACTGCTAGGAAAACATCCCTCCATGTAGCACTTGGGTCCGTGGACTTGTTTGGTGTTTGGCTATGACTACTGGCTTTCTAGCTGGAAGATGTGGAGAAGTAAGCGAAGGAGTGGAACGCAGGAATGGATGGGTACAATGTCATTCTTCTATCTTTTTCTTTTTTCCTTCATTATTAAAAACTAAAACTATCTTCATTAAGAGAAAAAGTAAGGTCTGTCTTTAAGAAAATTTTAAAATTGAAGTAACGTTAAAAATAACTGATGAATTCTGATGCATCAACTTAACGAACTTGACAACAGCAGTGATTTGTTCAAGATTCTGTGCATGCTCTTAACTTAATTCTGAAATTGTCGCCTCAGGAGCTGCAAACAGTAGTCAGCTATTACGGCATTGGTTGCACAACCTCATTTTTCCCTGTCATGCCCTAATCATAAATCAGCAGGTCTTCAAAAGGCCTCTTGGACATATTGCTTCCTTGAGACAAAAACCTCTTTCTTAGCTGTATCAGCCTATTTAAATTACCCATCTGGTAAGACTGTAGCATGTCCAAGTGGTGTGACATCCCAAATATTGTTTGGAGCGTGGATAGCATCCTGGAGAAGAATGCTTGCCCAGGGCTGTGCCGTGCAGGGTGGCTCCAAAGCCATTAGGGCATGACCTATTTTTCAAATGAGACAGCTCAGAGTAGACCTAGAGCTGACTGACCCTTCTTCCTTGTAGCATATCACAATTACCAAATAAGATGCTTGACACCTTCTATACTGTTAGCTTCCCACATGGTTTTCCTGTGAATTGTGGAGCTATAGCAGGCATGAATCAGAGAGGGTTTTTCTCAAAGGTTAACAAAATGCAGTTGAATAAAGACAGTCTTTGTTTCAGTAGCTTTCTGATCTCCTAGAATCAGCTAGGAATCTCATTACTTTCCAGAGTTTTTCATTTTAGCCACAAATGCCAAGCGCTTACCCTCATTGTAGGTTGCTAAGTTGGCTTTCATCGCCGGGTCATCAGCATCGGAGCAGGTCCTCATTCAGATCTGCCTCTCCTGAGAAGGTATTCAACTGTACGGTTTGTGTAGGATGCTGTAGAAACAGATAATAATGTGAGAGTGAACAGGCTCTTCTATCTGGCTTTTCTACTGGCCTCACATATGTTGAACAGGAACACCATCTACTTATCCAAAGGGAAGAAGATCAGACCTGTTGAAGTATTTTTTCAAGTGCTTTATTATAAACCACAACTTATATCAGCAATGCTTTCACTGGTATTGTCAAAGCCTCAAAAACTGACAGTCTTTTAGTGTCAGTATAGACCTATATGTGTGCCTCATCAAACTGATTTAAACTCAATAATGCTGATGTTGAATATGATATAGCAATACTCTGATATCATTCTTCCTAACTGTGCGTGTTTATTTTTGATGTTTCTAGGGTGTACTGCCCTCACAACTGTATGCAGGCAAATCCACACTATGCTCGAGTAATTGGAACACGAATTTATTCTGATGTAAGTATAGTGATTTACATTGCATTGTATAATGAAATATAATATCTTATGAAAAGCTATAAGGTAAAGATAATATAATATAGATATCCAGTTTTCCTCCATATGCTGATTTTTTACAGTCTTTTGAAAAGTTCTTTTTCAGAGGCTCCTATTTAAGTTAGTAGTACTTAGCTGCTGAAGATACGAAAAGTTATTTGAAAACTCACTGTAGACTTCGTTGGTCTCTGGACCCATATTTTCAATTTTTTATCAAAATTCCCACTAGTTTGTTCGGTGTTGGCGGTGTATAGTCATTTAAACCCATGCTCTTTAGATACTGAATCAACCATAACTTCTGTCAGATTAAACTAACCCCAAAAATTATTCTGAAAATAAATGTCCACAGTTTCATTATTTTGGATATTTCTTATCTGTGTTGATAGTTAAATGTTTGCGGCAGGATTTGGATATATTTATGTAAAGTATCTCACATTGTCATATTATTTTAACGGACTAATATTGTAGTTTTTTTGTCATTCTGTTTCCTCTACAACTTCTTTTCCCTGTCTTTTCTACGTCATGTTTTGTTCTGAAGTGGATAGAGAAAACGAAGAGAGTTCTTTTTTATGCCCCTCCTTTGTCATCTGTCTATGGAGAAGCCAGGTTGTAGTGGCAGAGCGAGCAGTTCACATCTTTGCCAGTAAACTGTATGTTTTAACTGTCTTTTAGCTGTCATAAGGAAAAGTATGGAAACCAGCTGGGTCAGGTGATGATTTTTCACTACTTTCCAGCACTTTGAAATGTGTGAAAATAATTTGCACGTGTTTATTCATCGTTATTTTGAAACTAACCAATGTCCATTAGATTACATGAGTAACTTGTCTTGAAAACACTCTTGCTTATAAGTAGTGTTACATGCGTGAGAAATACTCCCAGTTCAGGAAAATAATTAATTTGTGCATCTGGAACTGGGTCCTTAATGCATATAAGAGGGGCAGGGAAAATAGATTCAATGAAAGTCCATTTTGTGGAAGACTATTTTCTTTTCGTTCTGTGGTTGCAATCAAAGGCTACAGCCAAAGTTTCCCAGAGAGTTAGAAAAGACTTGTATGAGAAAGAAGACCCATTTCTGTTTAACTTACACAGGACATCTCAGAATATGTATTTGCTTTGGCTGGAGAAGTCCCAGATGACTTTAATGAGTATTATAGAGTTATGCTTTGAAATTATTTTAGATGTGCTATCTCATTATTCATCTCCATTGTATAGAAATGTGTACAACCATACTGATTTTAGGAAAAAATGGACATAAACACAGGTAAGAAACCAGGGATGGGAGTCTTCTTGTCAACTTCAGATGCTGTCAGGGTAGATATCTACACTGAAGGTGCCATTCTACGTTGTGTTTATAGTAGATTGTAGTACACACAGTATAGTGGTAAAGGAGATAAATGGGTATCTGCAGAGAAGAATTCATTTGACCTTTTCAGAGTGTCTACCTCAGTATGAGGTGAATTGCCTAATAGAGATGTCTATTCCTCTCCATTTCCTGCAGAAGGGTCCTAGGGCATCTAGCTCAGATGTAGGCAGATGTGTCCTACTTATATTTGTACGGATGTTCCCATCAATGGTATCAGCATTATGTGATTTTCTACAATGTTCCTTTGTTGCTAACATTTTAATTATTTTAAAACTAAGATACTTTTCATTGAAATGTTCACTAAAGAATATGATTGGGTATTTTGTGCATTTATAACATATTACTGAAGTAGTTTCAGGCGAAGTATTTATAGAGAATGATCTGTTTAATAAGTGTGTCCTCTTTTGCAGTTTTTCATGTATTCACAGATAGATTTGTTCATAGAAACAGAGAGTTCATTTGCCCACTTGTCTTAGCAAGTGTATTTGAAACTGCAGTCCATGGTCTACTTGGTTGATTCTATAAAACAGATGGGGGTTTTGTGACATTCCTGCAAATTCTTTTTTTTTCAGAAATGCACATGTATGTATGTGGATGCATGCATGTATGCACATGACTATTGGTTTGCACTACTGCTTGGGCCACTTGAATTCAGTAAATGAAGATTTTGTAGAGGTATTAAGAAAAAAAGCAAATAACAGTAGATGTCATTAATGCAAAAAGATATGTTTACAAAACCATTTTTTTAGTATTCATGAGAATCTAGTTAAATTTTTCCTTTTCTGGCTTTAGTCTGATCAGGCATCCATTCTGAAACTCATTTCATATTTTATGGTGACTTCTTTTCCTCCGTGTTCCTGAGAAGGGTTGTTCTCTGGTTTATCAGTAGTGCCCCACTGAATTTTTACCCTTTTTTCCCTCCCATTCGTTTTTTCCTTTGACATTGCAATGACTGTCCGTAACTCGATTGAAACAAAACCCCTCATTATTTCATCCTCTGTTCTTCCAGTCTGCTAGCTATTGTCCCTTTGTCTGTGGCAGATAAATCACACACATGATCCATATAGCCAGCATCTATAAACTTATGTTTGTGGGGACTTTTCACATAATACCCATCCTTCTGTGCTCTATACCTTCTGTTTTTCAATTGATCTCCTTTTGTTTCACTTGTCTTGAGGTAGATTGCACGCTCTTTAAAACAAAAGTATCTCTTACTCCGAGTTTATGGTACAATTAGTTTCTTTTCTGAATAGAGCTATTATGGAATGAATGAGAACTGTAGTATGTGTTGTTCTCAGCAGAAAGAAGTACAAATTACTCATTCTTCATATGGCCCAAACACATCACCACCTTTGTGCTTTGTGTCCCTACTGGCCTCACTGCTAAACAGCTTTGTCTTGTTGGGAGACCAGGAAAAAAAGCAAGTTTGCTCCTAACTTGTGCTGAAGAGTTGGTTCCACCTTTCAACTTCGGTTAATCCATTTTTGAATCTTATTACTGGAACTTCAGAATCATGTCATGTTGACAAGCGGTTTAACAATGTATGTATTTTTAAAGCACTTTTCTATATGACTTAATTTGTGAAAGAAAATGAAAACCTGCCCAAGAATCGAATCATGTCAGGACCGATGTGATTGAACTCTGTTGGAGATGATCTTGCAGCACCTACCTGGACAGAGATTGTCCTTTGTGGTTGCTGTTAGTCCCTGGACTATCAAGGCACCAAAATAACAAACTTTTTCATAGAGAGAAGGAGAGGCTACAATAGTTCAGTTGGAATTTCTTTCACTTGCAGATTTTTTTGGTAAAATTTTATTTTGATGGACACACCTTAGATATGTATATGGTAGAAGTTCTTAACTACATTCCAGTTGCCTTAAGAATTTCTAAAGAGATTAAGTTTTATATTTATCCTGTTGTTTTCACAGTAGGCAACATTTTCCCAAAGACAATCTCTTAGCAGAAGTGACTCTACATTATGGATGTTGATTGCGCAATTATTTTTTTTAAAAAAAAGAGTCTCCTTTTGGGGGCTAGAGATCAACAAAGGTCTTTTAGCTAAAGAATTTGATGAAGTTGTATAATTTCATACCATCTGAAGACTTTGGCCATATTAATTTTTGTTTCATTAACCATATATGGAAGTATTTCCCTAATGCTTGTGCAAAAGTATTCGTAATTCTCTGCTGTGGTAAAATATAAAAAATATGATGTAAAAAAGTTATTAATTAGTTCTACAGTCCTGTGATGATGAGGGAGAAACACTTGTGGTTAAAATGACTTTGCAGAGTACTGCTATGCTGTGGTAGATATTTGGTATTTTGCTGAGTAGCTGAAGAAGGAAAATAATTAAGCAGCTTGGTATTCAAATTCTATGACCTGTTAAGTACTAATGAATTTCAGAGAGTTCACAGCACAGCAATACAGCAAAGTCATAAAATGCTGTATGAAATGTTTATGTTAACTTAAAAATACTGCCTTATATATGCTTTGGAGTGAGTTCATCAACATTAAAGAAACAAACCCAAATCTCTGAAGTCTTCTAGAAAGTGGCATAAGGCTGCTGATGTAAAATATCAATAATATGCTGAAATTTGTGATAGACTCCAGTGTGAAAACCTGTTCTGCTTAAATTAACAGGAGATTCACCTTAGCAGTTCAAGGAAGTGTGATCAGGATGACATAATATTATTAAGTATAGGAAATGTGATGGCATCGGTACTGGAATCTGATTCCATTTAGATGAAGATTGCCAAGCCAATGAGCAGTTCTTGAAAGCTCAAAGCAGATAATACTTTCTAAAAAAAATTATATTCTGTATATGTTAATAAAACTATATGCGTTTTGTCATCTCTGTTCTTACAAGCTATTTCATAATTATGAATTTATATTCATTTAGTTGTTCATATATTCAAAAAAAATACATGCATTTGTTCTCCAATCTCATCTGGAAAGCAGCATCAGAATATCAGTTTATTTTTCATCTGAAAATAACCTTTAAGTTGGCCTCATCAACCCCATTTTTCTGACCTCTCCTTTTTCACATATGCCATATAAGCATCTTGCCTTTAACTTTAAAATGTTGTGCATTAGCCTATCCATACTTCATTGATCCAGTAACCGGTTGTGGTACCAACACTAACAGCAACCCCATCTTTTACTGGAAATGGTTTCCAACAAGTAGCATTTTCTGTCAAAATCTCCATCCCTTGACTTTTCCTTTCTTTTTTACTTGACTGCAAACTTCCAAATGACATTGGAACAGGCAGTCTTAGGTACCCTCAAACTATAAAATGTCTTTGCAAAAGATTCTTTGCATAAACAATTTCAAATCTTTACTCCTAGAAATGTTGTAACAATAAAAGACAAACTATGTAACAGTGAAACTGGCAAGTTCTGTGCTTGAAATAAGAGTAAGAAGATCACTGCTATTTTAAATTCCTGATTTTATATAGCATTGAGATTACAAAATAGCTACGGTAACAGATATAAATTATTCCAATTATAACTGGAAGAAATACAATTCTTGTTTAAACACTGGTTTGTGTGACCTGGTACTGGTATTTATATTGGCCAAGTTTTTAAGGTTGGTTATGGAGAGACCTATTGCAGTGAAGATTTTTTTCCGCAAAACAACTTGGCTTTAAGTAAAGATTCACTATAGCTGGAACTATACTTTTTATGCTACATAGGTTCATGAGAGGAATTAACGGCCAGAGAATGTAGGTTCCACTCAGATGAAACTGCTGTTAACTTCACAGAGAATTTTCATAGCATCATAGAATATCAGGTTGGAAGGAACCTCAGGGACCATCTGGTCCAACCTTTCTTGCCCAAAGCAGAGTCTAGACAAGATAGTCCAGCACTCTGTCCAGCTGAATCTTAAAAGTGTCCAATGTTGGCAAATCTACCACTTCCCTGGGGAGATTATTCCAATGGCTGATTGTTCTCATTGTGAAAAATTTTCCTCTTGTGTCCAGTTGGAATCTCCCCAGGAGTAACTTGTACCCATTACCCCTGTCTTTTCCATGTGACTCCTTGTAAAAAGGGAGTCTCCATCTGCTTTGTAGCCACCCTTTAAATGCTGGAACATGGTGATAAGGTCTCCCCTAAACCTTCTTTTCTCAAGGCTGAACAAACCCAGTTCTCTCAGCCTTTCCTCGTATGGCAGGATTCCCAGTCCTTTGATCGTCTTTGTGGCCCTTCTCTGGACCCCCTGCAACCTTCCACATCTTTTTGGCATAGTGGGGACCAAAACTGAACACAGTATTCCAGGTGTGGTCTGACCAATGCTGAGTAGAGTGGGATAACGACTTCTTTATCTCAGCTGGTGATGACTTTGTCGATGCAACCCAGCACCCTGTCGGCTTTCTTTGCCACAGCAGCACACTGTTCACTCCTGTTGAGCTTGTTGTTCACCAGGATCTCCAGGTCCCTTTCCACAGAGCTGCTCCCCAGCCAGGTAGATCCCAGCCTGTGCTGCACTCCCAGATTATGTTGTCCCAGGTGCAAGACCTTATACTTGTCCTTACTGAACTTCATAAGGTTCTTGTTAGCCCACTCCTCCAGCCTATCCAGGTCTTCCTGCAGGGTGGTTCTCCCTTCCAAAGTGTCCACTTCCCCACTCAGTTTGGTATCATCAGCAGTCTTCATCAGGGTACACTTGATCCCATCATCCAGATCACTCATGAAGGTATTAAACAGCATTGGGCCCAATATTGACCCCTGGGGACCGCACTTGTGACAGGTTGCCAGTTTGAAAAGGAGCCATTTACCACCACCCCTGGGTGCAGCCTCTCAGCCAGCTCCCACCCACTGCACAGACCGCTTGTCCAGACCGTAACGCATCAGTTTCTCAAGGAGGAGGCTGTGAGAAACCATATCGAAAGCCTTGGAGAAATCCAGGTAGACAATGTCCAACACTCACCCCACATCAACTGAACAGGTTACTTTGTCATAGAAGGCGGTCAGGTTTGTCAAGCATGACGTGCCCTTGGTGAACCCGTGCTGGCTTTTCCCAGTCATGTGTTTCATTTGACTTGTGATAGCCGCCGGGAGGATTCGTTCCATAACTTTCCCAAGGTCTGAAGTAAGACTGTTGGGCTTCTAATTTCCTGGATCCTCCTTTAAGCCCTTCTTGTAGATGGGGGTGATATTAGCCTTCCCCTGGTCTCTTGGAATATCCCCTGAACTCCACAACTTCCCAAAGATTATGGAAAGCAACCTGGCAAAGACATCAGCCAGCTCTTTTAACAGCCTCATGTGGATATTGTCAGGGCCCATTGACTTGTAGGGGTCAAGCTCCTGTAGTAGTTCACATACCAACTCTTCCTTCACTGACGGTGGGTCTGTGTTTGCATCAACCTGGATTTTTGTTCTCAAGGCCTGGGGCCCAACAGTGCTGTATAATTTTGCCTGCATAATGTCTATGAAATTAGACTCTGATTTAAAAATTCTTCTTTTGAAGCAACTGGAGAATCTTCACCTCCTGGCTTTATTTCCTCACTCAGAGTTGAGGAGCTAAAGCCATTAGTCTGCCGTTAATCAACTGTCATCGCTAAAGAATTATTTTAGATCTCTATCTTCTGATTGATGCTCATGTTATACCTTTAATTAGCTTTTAGTATTTGTCCATGCCTGGATAGGAAATTGTGTTGTTCCCTTTGAATATGGATCATTTCATTGCTGTTTGAGGTGTTGCACCTAAAGATGGAATTATTGCAGTCTATCCCTCACCTTCAGGGTAGACCATCCTCCTAGAAACACACGACTGCAGTATGCCTTTGCTGTTCTGTGGTTCCCCTATTTGGGTCTGGCTGGAGATTAAACTGTATAATAATTGACTACGGTTTGGGCTTTACTATCTCTCTGCTGCTGAAGTGAAGGCTGATAGAGCCTTTCATTTTGAAGAGGTCAAGAATTCAAACATGTTCCTGATCTTTGAACTGAAATAGCCTGAAATAAATGATTTGGGAGTCATGCTGCAGGACATCTTTGAAGAGGCAGTGTCTGTATTTCTATAAACGGGCTTAATTCCTATGAAACGGATTTAAATACTGTAAGATTAATAAAATTAGTCATGAAATAAATATAATTATTTTATGTTTCCTAGAACTTAGTTTAAAAGTCTTTATTGGTATTCTTCTAAAAAATTTTGAAATAAAAGGATGAATGAAAACTAATCTTCTCCTCATTCTTTCTTAGATATCCAGTATCTGCCGGGCAGCAGTACACGCTGGTGTAGTCCGCAACCAGGGCGGTTATGTTGATGTTATGCCAGTAGACAAAAGAAAGGTGTACATTGCGTCCTTTCAAAATGGGATCTATTCAGAAAGGTACAGAGCCCACTTTTAAAGATTACACTTTACCTGTCACCTCGATAAGATTTACAAAGTCTTGCATTGTATCTGTTTGTACCTGGGGCAGTGCTACAAACGAAGCAAATAGGCTAATGTGGGAGATTTACAGAGCTTGTGTAATAGCTGTGGTGACTTCGGAGAAGCTGTGGTACCAGAGCTGCCTGCCTCCTCTAAGCTTATAAATCATTACTCTAAAAAGCTGCTTATGAAATAAAACAACCCTCTTATTTACTTTGCTGGTTCTGTTGCAACTAACACAATATTTGATAAGAAAATTGCCTTTGCTTTCTTTGAGAAAAATTCACAATCATTAAAACATATTTTTTAATTTCTTTTTTTTTTTTAATGGTTTGACTGTTTTTAACAGTGTTTTTCTGAAAGACCTGGAGATGCTGTGAAAGTTCATTTTGTTGTATTCAGTGTATTCGTGCGTTCTGTGATGATAACGCATAGCTGTATGTTTCAGATCAAATTCAATCCCTGAAAGAGTTCTCCAGGTTCTAAAGGAAGAAAGAGAAATTACCTTAAAAAAAAATCTTGTATCAGTCTTTTAGTCCTGTAAAGCTAAGAATGATTGTTACCTCTAAAACTGTGGGCTTTCCAAGAAATTTGTGTGGGAAAAAACCTCCAAAAATTTCTGTAGCGAACTTCGAAGTAGGAAAAGATAGACTGTTTTTTTTTCTTACTTTTAATTGAGGGTCTTGCGTCTTTCCTTCAAACCTTTCAACAAACCTGGAAACTTGTAAATACAGATTTCCTTTGCTTGCTTAGTGGTTGCCTTAATTTACATATTCTTTGGCCTTTCCTCATCACCATCCAGTTCCCTCAGAAAGAGTGCTTCCTTACTGACACTTTTGTTCTCCATATAAATCTCATTGAGTAGAACTGTAGCCAGGACAAGTATTGCAAATTTAATCATTATTTGTACTTTACCATCTTGGTAAAGTTTGGAAGGTCAGTGGTTTGGAAAACAGTCCCATGCAAGTTTTCTGGAAGTGAAGCAGAAGGTGATGGATTGTAATGCTGTTGCAGGCAACCTGTTTCATCGTGCCCTTCCTTACTTTCACCTCCGTTTCCCTTTCCTTCCCGAAAATGCCTCAGACAGGGTTTGCAAAAGAGAAAACAATGGGACCATTAAATATGACATGCTAGTTTGGTTTGTAAAACAAAAATATTTATTCTAACAAAATTTCATTGCACTTGGGTATTTTTGTTTCATTTCTTTTGAAGCCAGATATTTATCCATTCAGAAGGCATTTCCTTTGTTTTTGTAACATAGTAATTCTCTTTAGAAATCTATTTTTTGGCATACAAGCAACTAACAAATAAGAGATCTCCTAGGTCTGCAGGTTCTCTCCGAATATAGTTATTAGAACAGTGAGCGTAAGATGCATGCTTTCTCTTTTTCCTAAGAACTTTTTTTAGTATTTTGCTTCAATAGAGCTTTATTCTTTAAACCAGAATCCCTCATAATGAAGGATTACTTGAATTTTTTCATGTTATGATTTGTTCCTAATAAGCTGCTTGGAAGAAAAATTAATCTGAAATTTATGTAATTTTTATTTGTAACAGTTTTTAAAAAAATTCTTAGATAGCTAAAGTTATGAGTAGTCACAAGAAGAGTCACAGGATCCTAAAATTGTATTTAACAGTTCAAAAAAGTTGTCATTGGAGTGTTGCAGTCTTAAAAATAACATCAGGAATGTTTCTATGTTTCAGTTTACAGAATCCTCCAGGAAGCAAGGCGTTCAGAGTATTTGCTGTTGTTTGAGTCTAGCAAGTAAAATGTAAAACAGGCAAGTGAAACCAGAGCACTTGGACGAGAATAATAAATAAGCCCATTTCTTATCATTCCTAAAATTTGTATAAAGCTGTAACATTATTGTACAGAAGATGTATACTGCTTTCCACCAAAAAGTTTAAATTACACATATATCTTAATAAAAAAATCTGTAAAAGTAAACATGGGAGAAAAATTCACTTGAAAATCTATAATGATATATAACAATATTTTGAATCCTGTGTTAAATATTGCTATATTTTCTTAGCAGTTACTCCTATACAGTTAATTCAAAGCTCATAAATGTTCTTTGTTTTCTTCATCTGAATATATTATTGTATGGTACTTTATGTATGCCACTAACAGTAACCTTAAAACTATACCATAGGGAGGCCTGAGGTTTTATTTCCAATGTACATAAAAGAAGCCATCCCAATAATTCAATATAGTAAATCATGCCTTAAAGTAAAATAAAAATATATATAACTTTTTAATGATTTACAGTAGCATTAGCCATGCAAGCATAAATGAGGAGCTAGACTGTTTTCAATTTCATACTAATCATAACAAGTACAAATACTTGTTTTGAAATAAAATGGAAAATACAAAATATAGGGAAGTCCTGGGTTGTATTAGCATATTTTCCTCTGAAGAAATACTTTTAAGAGACTGGGCCATTCCTGTTCATTATTTCTTAAATATGTTAATAAAATGTTTATTGAATGCTGCTAAGCTCTTTAGTTTGAATAACCAATTCATTGTGGCCCAGTCCTTCACAAATGTTACGCTATCTTGGGATTGGTGAGTGAGAGATAGACATGTATAACCTTGAAGGATCTGGGAAAATTTTCAAATTGAGAAGTGGAGTAACCTGAAATTAAGGAATAAGCCATCAGTTCTGCAGTGCAGTTCTGCACATATACATGCTTTATTTTTGCCATGTGGCTCCTTCGATTTACCTAAATTGGGTTTCAGCAAAAATGTAGAATTGTACACAGACATAAAAATTTGCAAGCTTGAGGCCTTAAGCTGTAGATGGTATCCGTATACTATACATTAATATGAGGGTAAATGTTCAAAAAAAACTTAAAGAAAGTGGTAACAAAGGCTAACCTTGCTCCTCATGACCTGGCAAATACTCCTGCAGGCCAGGAAGTATAGTGGTACGGAGCCCAGTGACAATTATGTCATTTGTTGCTTCACCGTTTCTAAAAATTCGTTTATGGTGAGCAGCCTTGTGCGTTAATTTTACCATATTATGGTATATGAAGAACATGTAGTGGTGATACTATGTTTCTTTCTATGAAAAGTGTATTGGTGCTTTAAGACTGAAAAGCTGTTAAACTTTATTTTTGGTATATTTTGTTTCTGTTGTTGAATTTATTGCCTTCCAACTTGTGAACTTACTCGTATTCTTCATATTTCAGAATACTATGTTCTGCCTTCTATTTTGCTACATATACTACCTCATGTAGTTAGGCAAGCTTTGTTAGTTTTTTTTAATCTGTTTTGAATAAAATTAATTTACATAGTAAGAGTACCTTTGACAGCCTTTATTTTTCAATTGTTTGTCCTGCCTCAGGAAGAAAAAAATAACAGCCACCCAAAATTTGCTTTTTTTTTTCCTGACCTAAATGTTGCGAATGTAGCACCAAGTTGTAGTCATAGTCTGAGGATCTGAAAGCTGTAAAGGTAATTTAGGCACACAACTGCCATCAATGCATTGGGAGTTTTATGGATAAGTCTTCTGGTCATTTTTTCAAGTTTTGACCAGGGTCTCTGGGAACAGATTGCTGTCCCATTTTAATGGGGAACTCTGTGTCAGGAAGTGATTATAAAAAAGCCACCACCTTTTATTCAGTCCAGCTCATTGCTGTTGTGGTAAATGTTTCTAGTGCGACTGTTCCTAGCTACATTTGTTGGGAACAAGCAGGTTTTCATATTACACATTCCTTTTTTGCCTCATAAGACTAATGGTCAACTTGGGAGTTCCGCTTGGGAAATCTATTTAATTGATGAGGGAGACAAAGAGTCTTTGATGTGTAACCCCTTTTTTTTGCAGGTGGTGGCAGGGGGCTGTGGAAAGAAGCTTTGTATGAATTTTGCAATACTGGAATTAACCACTTTTCAGAACTGAAACCAAAGTGCAAGTAGACTTTGACTGTGATGGGTCCCCAAAACACTCAAAGGCTTGAGAGAAACTTGCACCACCTTTCCTTAAAAGGACCAGAGCAGTAACACAGAAAGGCCTCACAATACCTACAGCTGGGGTTTTCAGAACATAAAATGGAGTAAGGCCACTTCTGAAATTAAGGACACGCAGAACTGCTGGAGGAGGCATTTGAAACAAAGTGATGTGAATGTAATCATAGTGTCCCTTTCCACACAGCTGGGACTCTTTCTTGCAGCCTGGCCTTGCCATCCAGCAGCTCTCCATGTCCCCTGCCTGGCCCCCATGGTCCCCAGCAGTTGCCTGGGGAGCCCACGGGAAGGCCGTGGGGTGCTGCAGAGCCTGGGTGGGGAGCTAGCTCCCTGCTCTGCTACCAGCAGTGGCGGGCACCCCTTTCTTTGGGCAGTGCAGAGCCTGGGGTGAGGGAAAGAACAAGAGTCACACCTTCCGTCGTAACCACAACTTTCTCATTTTGGGTGGGTGATTGGAGTCGCACACGGAAACAGGGTTGCCACACCAAATTTCTGCCTTTTTCCTGATGTCTTTTTTATTCTTCTGCATATCGTTGCTTCCTCTCCTCTCTCTCACCTGTAAAATCTCACCTACATTTGCTGGGTACCCTTGGTACCACAACAACAAAGTTAGCGCTTGTTGGGAGAAGAAGTGGGGGCTACCTCCAACGTGCACCGTGCGTGAATGGTTGCTGTGAGCAGCTCTGCTAATCAACACAGTGACAGGAAGAAAGGAAGGTGAGCAACTCTTTCTCCTCACATCTTCCCTTGCACAAATTCTGGAGTCCTATTGCTTTTCCACATGCAATGATTCTGTGCTGTTATAATGTAAATATTCCAGCTAACATGTTTTTTTTGAGAAATTCTCTTCTGTATTTACTGTAAGTAATGAGTCAATGAATAGACATTTCCAAGCAGTTGTAGAGCAAGAGCTACACATTGGTGTTTTTTTCTGCTCCAGAAGTGACTGTATGCCAGATGGTCACAACTGATTCCCAGAAAGCCCAGATGAGTTAACTAGCAGTATCAAAAAACTTGCGAAAAATGAAAACTTAATGAAAAAATATAGAAAGTGAACTTTTAAATGCTGAGGAATTGTTTGGTTAACGGAGCAGTTACAAAATTATGTTCTCAACTTGAATTAAAAAAAAGGGATAATCAATAAGAAAGTAAAGCTGAATTCATGGTATTCGTAATATTTACATGCCTCCCAGGAAAGACCTGTAAGTAGTCAACAAGAATTATTACAACTGATACATAACAATCCTCTGCCAAAAAAAAAAAGAAGCTGTTTTAGTACATTGGTATCTGCCATTTATAATTTTGAAAGGACTAGAATATCAAGAAATGTAAATTCACTCAATACAGTGGGCCCTTAAAAGGATACGTGAAGCAGGGAATACCAACATTTTCCCATGATCCTGCGGTATTTCCCTTTAGGACTTGCTTCGTGAGGAATCTTTTCAAAAGGGAAGCATAGGAATCATTTGGAGAGGGGTGAATTATTTGTCTAGAATAGTTCCCTTGCCTGGTGAGCTTTTCCGTAAGGATCAATTAAGATATTTCTCTGCTGTGCTGCATCCCTTCCAGCTGGAGCAGCTCATTTCATAACTAAACAAGAGTTAGTATGAAAGAAAGTGGTAAGACCCAAACAGATAATTCTTTAATAGTCCCTCACCATTTGGATAGCTATATGAGGACATTTTAGTTCTAGGGAACTTGAGACCCCTACTCATGTCAGCAGACAGCTCGTAGTACTAGCTGGACATAAACTGAGGAAACTAAGAAACATTTCCTAAACTTTGTGGATGCTGAGGAATTTTAGAGAATTTGCAGACTTCCTTGTGTCTGCTTTCTGCACAGTGGACAGTCTGATCTAGAAATTACACAGAAAGTATTTTTGGACCCAAGCCTGAAAGACCGGTTGGGATAACATGTGTGTAAGTTTACTGGTTTTTAACTGATGGAGTACTCAGTTTCAAGTTTTATGTAAATGGCAGACTGTTGGCTGTCCATGGATCCTCAGCGGATTTAAAAGAAGAAAAGTAACATCAACTGGTTTTGCGTGTGTTGATACATATGCTCAGGAAAATGCGCGGCACTATACTTCATATGGCAGAGATGTAACCGAGTTAGTCACATAAACAGTGTCTTCTGTGTGGCAATTGCTTTTGAAGTATGTTTTGAATTTGACTTAAAACTCGGATAACCCAGCTTCTTGTGAATACACAAGGGAAGGTTTATTTCCTGCAGTTTCTGTAGTCATACAAAGGACCAGATTTAGAAATGTAAATATTTGGAAGTTACAAAGATTATTCATACAGTGCAATATTCTGTTCGGGAATTTATATAAATACTGCATGAAATACTGTACTGTCACACTTCTATGTCTTAAGACTTTTTATAGCATCTATGGAACTCTAGGGAATTATACAACGAATGAAAAGCCTGAAGATTTTTGTTTCATTCGGTGTATGATAGGCATCTTACAAAGCTTTAGATATACAAATGATAGCATACTTTAATATTCAGAAAATTGCATATGATTTTATAAAGACATACACTGTACATATGGGAAAAGAAGCCATGCTGTCAGCCTTAGCTTTAACCTGTCTTTGCTGTCAGGAGTAAATGATGGAAATAGTATTTTATATTTGGTCTCTATTGATACAGTTGATATTATTGTTATTAAATGAGAAGTCCTTGTCATCTACTAGGGGGCTGTGAAAATACAATAAAATGTAGTTCCTGGTCCACGTTAACATAAGATGATAATGTGACACCTGAAATTTGCCATCAGCTGTTCAGTGATCTGTGTTAAACGTCTTGTTCATCTTAGCCTGCTTGCTGGGGGACAAATGCCTACATCGTTAAACCATCACAGCACTTTGCAAAAAGTACTAATAACGAGTCTTAAATTTTCAGAAGCTAGCAAAAGCCCCCCGGTCAGACAGGCACAGGAAAATATGAGAGACTAAAGGAGGAAAGTAAAGAACATGCAACCAAAACGGCCAGTCATGATGGATGCTCCGTGTCTTACTACCCACGTTGATTTCTGCAATAATTACCTGAGTTATTCAATGCAGTATCTGGCCCCAGTGCTGTGTGCAATATTGGTTTTGTCCTTACTAACAATGGGGTGAGTGTCTGAAGGGGAGCAGCAAAGTTGTTGGTTAAGAACTGAGAGACACTGGCCAAACAACATGAATAAGTCTGCAATACTAAATCTCTTAATAGGCACACAAAAGACTTCAGTTGCCAATGGCAGGCAATAACTCTTGGGCTTTTAAATGCCCTAATTTCATTTCAAGCATATGCATTATAACAAAATAAAAATGTCAGCACATACTAACTGTTTAGTAAGAATTTCAGTTGTTCAAAGAATTCCCATTTATTTCAGCTGAACAGAAGTTG